CTCGCTCTCTCTCTCTCTTCTCTCTCTTCTCTCTCTTCTTCTCTCTCTCTCTCTCTCTCTCTCTCTCTCTCTCTCTCTCTCTCTCTCCCACTCTCTCTCTCTCTCTCACTCACTCGGTCTCTTTCTCTCTTTCTCCCCATTTCTTTCTACACTCCCTCCTTCTCTCTCTATCCCCCCCCTATTCTCTCTACACTCCCCCCTCTCTCTCTATCCTCCCTATTCTCTCTACACCCCTTCTCTCTCTATTCTCCGCATATTCTCTCTACACCCTCTCTGTCTATCGCTCTCTCTCGATTTCTTATCGCGATTTTATTATTAGGGGAGAAAATATATACACAAAGAGATTCTTTCCGTTACCATGTACGTAATGCGTAGGAATGCGACGGTGGTGGCATGCCGGCACGTAACCACTGCTTATAGATAGAGTAGCCGCTAGTATGCCAGCCTGTTCTGCTTGCATCTATGACAAATACGACATACGCATATACACGCTCTCCTATGACACTATTTGTCATAGGAAGATTCTTCCTATGACAAATATTGGCGAGTCAACTTCGTTCCGCTTTACAGCTGAAATTCACTGCTTGCGTTCATAATAGCGCTCCTAAACTCCTATGATGCGCACAACACATACAACAATATTTCTCATAGGAAGAATCTTCCTATGACAAATAGTGTCATAGGAGAGCGTATATGCGTATGTCGTATTTGTCATGGATGCTAGCAGAACAGGCTGAGTATAACGTGTATTTACATAACGTGTATTACGTACGTGTATTTTATAGCAGTGTACGTGTATTAGAGAGCAGGAGGTATAGAACCGCACACCATTTGACGGAAATACGAAGGAATTAATATGTTGCCGTATAGCTTATACGGCTGTTGCACGAGAGAACAGAGAACAACAAAACAAGAAGAAATGTTTATAAACAGACGCTGCGAGAATCTGCAAACATGTTATGACACTGCCGACTTCCCCAAAAAAATAAGTTTGCTCTGAAAATTTCAAAAATTTTATTTGCAGCATCTTCTCTAGATATTTGCTATACATTTATTATTAAAAATAAGTTGTAAAATAACAGTTTATCATGCTACGCCATGCGTGGAGACATTAGACGTTATAATATAGACGGAAAATATCAGCGCTGGTACGAGAATGACGTTATATACGTATTTTATATTTGTATTACGCGAGTTAAATAATCATAATAATGCACGCACGCGCGCACGCACACACGCACGCACGCACGCGCACGCACACACACACACACACACACACACACACACACACACACACACTTCCACGCGCAGTGTCAAATATATATATATCGCCATCATATGATCCCTGATTTCCATAATGCATCGGTTCGTATATTATAATTAAGTTAGCGAAGGCTCTTCATATAATTAAAAAGAAATTTCCAAGGAGATATTTTAATACCAAGATAATTATAAAGTGCCAACAGCCAGTCAAGCGGGGCTTATCTAGCAAAGGCATCTTCCATGAATGCGACTACGCGCCATTAATACTACCACATTAACCACATTAGTAAAACTCTGGAGGCTATAGATTAAAAAAAGGACAATGAAAAAAGTTGCATATAAAAAAAAACCGGCCGCTCGCACGCTCTGCGCATAAACTTTTTTTCGTGCGGTTGATTCAGCTTTAGTATTTCGATTCCATCGGTCCTCGAGTTCCTGTTTTGTAAATTGTTGTTATTTCAACTAATATTTATTTCAATGGTTAATATCTGTCTAGAATGGCAATTTACAGTGCCCGCCACGACGCAGCGTTCGCGAATTTATGTCTCAAAGCAATAAGGCGGTAATTGTCATGTTATTAAGAAATATCGTAAATGCATTATGCATATATATAAGAGAGAGAGAGAGAGAGAGAGAGAGAGAGAGAGAGAGAGAGAGAGAGAGAGAGATAGGATATTTTCAACCGCGGTTACATCGCTGCAGCATATATAGCCCACCGACGTTGCGCTCGCTGAGTGATTCGGATTTCAACCTAACTGTACATAATGGAATAATATACACCTTATAATATACGTATATCAGTGTAAATTATATAGATATAAATACACGCACGCGTGCGCGCGCGCGCATACGTCTGTTTGTATGCGTGCGCGCGTGCGCGTGCGTGTGACGTGTGTTCGGGTGTTAATAACGTGTATTTTAACTTTGATTTTATTCAATAATAACGCGTTGGTGTTGCAAATGTGTGTGTGTGGAGGGAGAGGCTTGCTGGCTGTCTATCTCTGTCACAGCCTATCCCATACGCCTCAGCATCCAACTTACTGTATATGTACGTGCGGAATAAGAATGCCTTACAGCAGTAATACCCCGCGTTGCGAAATAAATCGGTTTTCCATAACGTTCCGTAACGCGAAATTCCGTGGCGGGAATCACACAGGAATGGGAGGCTTTTGAAAGGAACTCCCCCCCCAAGTTCATGCCTTAAGGAAATAAAAACTACATAGGCGCGAAATCACCTTTTCGCATCGCGAGTATAGTGGCCATGTTACACATGAAATTACGTATGGGCGAATTTACGTAACGCGAATTTTCGTATCGCGGGGTATTACTGTACTTATATAGAAACGCCGTTCCCGCGCCTTCTCCCGCGTATGCAGTTAGTGAGAATAAGCGTTGCATACGGGGGGAGGGGGCACGCGCTCTCTGGTGGGTTATATGTATATAATGTCTATATATACGCTCGCACGTAAGATATTGTGTGAGGTCGAGAATTGCGAAGGATAATCATATAGTTGTGAGAGCTTTAATCTCCTTAATCTTTAATCTGTTGCTGGGTGCCGCCAATCCGTCTATTAGCTAAGATACGAGACATAAACAACAACTTAGGGGGGGGATAGATGTAGAGAGAGGGGGAGAGAGAGAAAGAGAAAGAGAGAGAGAGCGAGCGAGAGAGAGAG